GGCGAAGCCGACAAGACTGCTTATCAAAACATCGTTGGAGATGCCGGCTACTGTGCATGAGGGCCTGCCAACATTCGACCCCGCTGGAGGCTACCTGGGACCGCTGCCACCGGCATCGACGGCTACGCCGACACCCGCCTCCATGCTGGCTAAAGCCTCCCAGGGCGAATGGCCCTCAGAGCTCTCCTGTTGGCTAGCACAACTTGCTCTGGCTACCTGCACGGCTCCTGCTGCGACTGCCTCCGGAGAGGGGGAACAACACGTGCAGGATACGACCACACCTGGCGACCTCGACTACGTCACGAACCAGCCTGAAGGACCCCGGCTACAGGGCGGCCAAAGTCCACCACGACGATGCCATCAGACCGATGGGATAAAGGATTTCCACGACGGTGGAGGGCTATGCTCCCCCGGGCGATGGCCCCGACACTCAAGGCTACATGCTGCTGGAGAGTCCTGGGACTGGCTACGCTCCAAAATTCGGGAGATCGTGGTCAGGCGAGCGGGCTCCGAGAACGAGTTGGAGAAGGAGGCCTTCCGCATGGCTATGGGAGGCGAGACGGGATGCACGCTAGCTCGGGATAGCCAGCTACACGAGGAGCTGCTACAGCTCTTGCAGACCTGGATAGAAGGCCAGGACCTCAGTGAACCCAACATTTTGGATATTCCTCCAGGCCAGCCTCTCCGGCTTCGGCTACTTCGGGCGATCCTCGAGGCTGCGGGCGACCCGGATAGAGACTTCCTGTGCCGGGCCGAGGAAGGCCTGCCTTTGGGGATACTGGAAGGGCTACCTCGGACCGCGCATGTGTTCGAAGAGCAGACTTCTTGGCGGCTAGACAATACCCCGTGGGAGCCTGCGCTAGCGTGGGTGCCCAACTACTCGTCGGTTAGCGACCACCGGGAATTCGTGCGGGCTAAGTTCGAAGAGGACGTGGAAGAGGGCCTTATGGAGAAGATGACCCTTGGCGAGTTCAAGGCGAGGTTTGGCGAGGACAGGGCTATCGCTTCCTTGGCCGTGATAGTCGAAGACGAGGAGAAGGACAAGAAACGGATAATCCATGACGCCACCCATGGCGTAAGGGTTAAGCATCGGATACGGTGTCGGGACAAGATCCGGGCTCCAGGGGCTAGAGAAAAGAAACAGATCCTGCGAGAGCTCATCCGATGTCGATGTGGCGAGGTTGCCTTCTCGGTCGTGGGGGATATCTCGAAGGCCCATCGGCGATACAAACATCAGGCTAGCGAGCACGGCTTCATGGGCTGCCAGATAGATACCGAGGAGACGATCCCCGGAGACCCGGATAGCCAGATCGTCTACGTCAACAAGGTGGGCACCTTCGGGCTATCCCCAGCGAGCTACTGGTGGACTAGGATAGCCGCATGTGGGCTACGGGCAACCCATCATCTGTTGGGACCCGGCTATCCCATCGACCTCCTGCTATACGCCGATGACCTCGAGGCCCTGGGGATAGGGACGGAGGGGAGGAAGGGGATTTTTTGAGTTACCTCCTCCTCTCTGTCCTGGGCTGTCCCTTCAAGTGGGCGAAGACTCGAGGTGGCTATAGGGTGGAGTGGCTGGGAATGGAAACGGAGTATTCCTCCCACAGGCTAGGCATGTCGAAGAAGCGTGCGTCCTGGCTATCCTCCTGGCTTAACGACAAGGTGGCCTCTGGCAAGGTCACTGCCAAGGAGATGCAGCAGGGACTAGGCTTCGCGGCCATAGGCCTGGACTGGCAGAGACCCTTCCTGGGCCCCCTCCACGCCTGGAGCGCGGCTATTCAGGGGAAGACGGACCATTCCCACGATGCTGAGCGTCCTGTTCCGGTGGCTAGCCGACAAGCTCGACCAGGGAGAGAGGCTTCAACGTCCCGTGACTCTCTACGCTGGGCTACCACCACTGAGCTTTTTCACTGATGCTAAAGCTGAGTCCGATAGGGCCTGGATAGGGGGCTTCCTGGAGAAATCCGAAGGGAAGCCGGGACCCTGGTTTTCACTCGAAGTGGATAGGGCCTGGGCTCCTTGGGCTTTTTCGAAAGGCGATCCCAAGAAAGTGATAGCTGCGCTCGAACTGCTAGCGACCCTCGTGGGGATACGTCTCTGGGTCCCCGAGGGCGAGGATAGAAAGACCTCGCGAGTGGCCATCCGTGGATATACGGATAACAAGTCCAATGAGGCACTTGTGAAGAAGGCTATGACAACCAAGTATCCTTCTATGCTAATTTTAATGGAGGTACAGTAGCCGAAGAGCTATCCCATAAGAACTGCGAGCTACAGCTCCAGTGGATACGGCGAGACATCAACCAGCTAGCGGATGATCTCACCAACGAAGAGTTCAAGGAGTTCGACCCAGCCCAAAGGATAGAGCTGAGGGGAGAAGAATTCCAGTGGCGTCCCTGGTAGCCTGAGTGGCGATGCATGGGGAGGGATAGCCGAAGGCTATCGAACATCTCCAGGCAACCTGGGATAGTTGCCACTCAAGACAAAAAGAATGTCCGTGCTAGCTGAGTGCCTGTCTCGCTTGGTTGTCGCTCGGCTAGCTCGCTAGCAAACTACTACTACTGCTATCGTCCTGGTGGTGTTCCGGGGATGGTGGTGGGAGATAGGAGCTAGTGCACTGCAAATGTCCTGCTGAAAGGCGTTTGGTGGATGACTCCGCACAAATACCCCACAAGGCAGCGTAGGCGTGTTCCATGCAAATTTCTCCAATCCTGCAGGGCACAACTGCTGCGAAAAATAAGGCTTGCAGACTGCACCCAGCCTTCAGCTTGCTCTTGTTTCCACGAGTGGAAACATAAGCTTGCGTCCAGAACCCATAGGCCACACCAGCATACATCACTGCGGCCTCGTATGAGGATAGCAATTAATATTCACTGTTTCGGGCCATCGAACCGATGAGGCTTCAACAAACAATTAAGGTCCGAACACGGTGATCTTTGCACGAAACCAGATCGGGATGGGGAAGCTTTACACCAACCAGGTATCGAATCACGTATGACTTCATGATCTTGAAATTGCGTAGCGACTCCACCACTTCCATAGCCGCATCCTCATTAGAACCGGGAGCACTCAGCAGCAGGATGCAATATCGCATAGCTAGAGCGCCGTGATCGATCTAATACTTTATTCGAGAGTAGACACGAAGAACTTCACAGGCTGCAGCACTTGAAGACCACGAACAAGTTCCCCGTTAATTAACAGTCTTGTCAGACCGTATGTAGCGAAACTTGGCGGGAGCACCAGCATCCGTCTTTGGCGCCATGGCTGATGCGAAAAGCCCTTGCAACATTGAGCACTCGCGAAACAATTTCTATGCACCACATGCACACTTCGGAACTGCAGCCCGTCAACTGAAAAGCCCTTGCAAAACTGAGCACTTCTGAGGCCTCTATGCACCACAGTACTTCTGGCAACTGCAATCTGCTGGCACAGTTCATGCGAGACCCAAACAAGGAACAGGAGCCTGAAGAAGCAGCGTGCCAGATCGCACGTGCACACATGGTACATACATGTCTGCTGCACACGACAACCACAAGCAATGCAGGGCGGTGGGAATGGTAACCTGTGAGCTTCTGCTCCCTTTTCCTGAGCACATGATGCAAAATGCCATATGCACCACCAGCCGGCATGGCTGATGAAAACTTGCAGCCAATTGCAGCTAATTACACACAGTCGACCTGCTTTCCTAAGACTGCCATGTCTTGCCCTTGCTTGCACACCACATGCAACCCCCATCTCGAATCCGAATAGCTGGATGAAGTTATAGCGTGGATGTGAAGCTGATCCAAATAATTATCCTTGACATGCTGTGCACTTGACCAGGGAGGCGAGGCAGGCGAAGTTTGCTCACAGCAGCGCAATTTCAAAGACCCCCCCGCTCACACAGTCACGAAATCCCACAGACCCACATACACACACACAGAGACGAGCACGAACAGCCACAGACACACACACACACACACACACACACACACACACACACACACACACACACACACACACACACACACACACACACACACACACACACACACACACACACACACACACACACACACACACACACACACACACACACACACACACACACACACACACACACACACACACACACACACACACACACACACACACACACACACACACACACACACACACACACACACACACACACACACACACACACACACACACACACACACACACACACACACACACACACACACACACACACACACACACACACACAACACACACACACACACACACACACACACACACACACACACCACACACACACACACACACACACACACACACACACACACACACACACACACACACACACACACACACACACACACACACACACACACACACACACACACACACACACACACACACACACACACACACACACACACGCACCACACACACACACACACACACACACCAATGCGAACACGAACACCCGCAAACACAAGCAAACACAAACGTATACACACACAATATAGAAAACAACACCTGCATGTACAAATAAGCCCTACAGCCATCAAACCCCACACACAAAAATACATGTGTATATATGCATATATATATATATATATATATATATGGCAGTGAGTCAAAAACTTCTGGTATGTAACAGGGCCGGGGCGCCCCTCGCGCGACAGAGTATGTAACAAAAGCGGGTTTCTGCGACAAGGCTGGCGCGACAAGGTTGTATGTATGTGTACATGTGTATAGATTTATATTGTGTGTGAAGAACCTGCCAGGTCCTTTGTCTTCGAAGCGAGTGCAGTTCAAGAACTGCACGCACCTTTTCCGGAAACTTGGCCACTTTGCTTAAGGGAGGGACGTTGAGCCGAATCGCAGCGCTCATGGAAAAGTGCAGCTGACCGTCTGCCGACTTCGTGTGCCGCAGACTGCAAGAGGGATTCACCAACTCTTGAAGTTGGTAGCGGAGCACTGCTCAGAGGCGGTGCTCCGAGGTTCGCTACCACATGGGTGGCAATGGCAAGGGCAATGGAAAGTCGAGTGCGGAAGGGCAAGCTTCTGCTGGAGCGACAACCGGGAAAGCGGACCAGTACGTGCCTGTCTTCGACAACAGCCAGCGCTCTTACAAGGAGTTTCGCAAAATGTGTGAACTTTACCGTGTGGAGATGGAGCTGGCTGGGCGGCGGCAGGAGACGATCTTCAACATCGTCACCTTGCTCACCGGCAAGGCCTGGGACATGGTGGACGACTTGACCACCGAGACCTTGCAGGGCGATGGTGGCTACAACGCCGGACCGCGGCTTCAAGTACGAGCCCCTGACGGAGTTGCCCGAGGACTTCGAGACGTTCTTCGTGAAGTTGAACCGCAAGCCGAACCAGACGCTTCAGGAGTATGCCGCCGACTTCTCGAGACCCGAGCGCCAGATCCGTGTGACCCACTCGGTGGATCTTCCGCAGAAGGTCTTGGCCTGGTGGTTCCTCCGACGGCGCGGTGTCGGCCGTGACCAACGGCAACTGGTGCTCACGAACGTGGGCGCGGACAACCTCACCCTGGAGAGCGTGCAGAAGGCGATGAACTTTATCCTTGGCCAGGACTCCCGTCTTGAACCAAGGTGGGGAAAAGTCAAAGCCAACGCCTTCTATCAGGACGAGCTCCACGACGAAGGGTACGACCAGGACGGTGACGAGGAGCCGACCTACTGGCAGGAGGAAGGCGACCACAGCCCACCTTGGCCGGGCGAGGGCGAGGACTACTACGACTACGACCCGAGCCCCCAGCACGAGGACGTGTTCGACGTGGACGAGTTCGACGAAGTGTATGCCTCCTACACGGACTTGCCCTGGTGGACCGTGGGAACGTTCGACGTGGCGGCGGTGCTGGAAAAGGACGAGGCAAAGCACCCCAATCGCCAAAAAGATCAACTGCGAAAGCTCGCGGCCAGCAAGCAGCCGGGAGACAGTTGTGTCTCCGTTGTGGACAAGCCGGGCACTGGGCCCGAAACTGGATTCAGGCCAGCGCCGGCGGGGAAAAGAAGCGGAAAATGGAAGGCGAAGACGAGATCATGATGGTGCCCAACCTACGCCTTGAACGACGAGGACCTCGAGGAGGAAGCGAACAACCGGGCAATGCAGGACGGTGGCGCAGCCAGTGTTCTTGGAAGTGCCACGGCAATCCGGTGCTACCTGCGGTACCTCCTTGAGAAGGGCGTGGACCTCTCGACCATCCCGTGCTTCAAGTGTGCCAAAGGCTTCCGCTTTGGCAACTCAGCCACCGGAGGCTCACGGCACTGCCTTCTTTTGCCGCTGACCTTGGAAGGCCGGAAGCTGCAGATCCTGACTTATGTCATCGAGGGCAGTGCTCCTTTGCTGTTTGGCCGGCCGTTGCTGAAACGGTTGGGCGTGGTTGTCGACTACGACAAGGAGAAGATGAAGGTCAAGGGCGGCCCGTGGCAGGACATTCCCTTGGACCTCGTGGCGAGCATCAGCTCGCACTGTCCGATGACGTGACCCGCCTTCTCGACGACAGCCCCTACGACGAGATCCTTGTGCCCGACGACTACGAGAACCACGTCGCCGTTCAGGACCCGATCGCCTTGGACGAGATCCTGTTACTGTCCGAGCCGACCCTAGCCTATGAGGAAGTGAACCTTGCGAAGCACCACAACAACGACTCGGGGAACCTTCTGGAAAACTGTGAGCCCAACGACGGTATGAACAATGAGGCCGTCACCCGACTTCTGCGCGTGACTCCAACACACCGGTGCCCAACCTGGGTGCCACCAACGCGACCGAGGAGAAGCTGACCACGGTCGAGAACGACGTTGCCCCCACCGCGGAGGAGGACAAGAAGGAGACTGTGGCCCTCACCGGCGACAAGGTGAAGGCCTTGAGCAAAGGACGCCTGCGCGGGCTGATCATGATGGCCCAGGCTGCGACCAAGAAGCACAAGAGCCTCCTCTCCCAGACCAGCAGAGTGGGCAACAGCAGCCAACGTGTGGTCTGGCAGGTGTTTCCGGGAAAAGGCCGCCTTGGAGACGAGATCCACAAGCAAGGCGGCAAGTTTCTGAACTTCTCGAAGGAGACCGGCTGGAACTTTACCCAGCCAAAGGTGCGGAAGCGTTTTCTCGCAAACCTGCGGGAGGAGCAGCCCGATGAGGTACTGATCGCCCCGTCGGGTCGCATATGGAGCCCGGCAATGGATCGAACCGCGGTTGCCGACCCAAGCCGTGCACCTGAGCTACGACGCCTCCGACAGGACCACCACGACAACATCCTTGTGTTTGCGGCGGTTGTCTTTGAGACCCAGCGCCGTGCGGGACGCCACGCTCGCATCTTGGAACGCGAGATCGTGGATGACAAAGGCCCTGGCCCGACTACAGGGCCACAGCAGCTACGTGGACCAGTGCGAGTACGGCCTGTCACTCCCAGACAACAAGAACGACCACAAGCTCCTGAGGAAGGCGACCTGCTTCTTTACAACTAAGCGGACTCTGGCCTACCGCCTGGAAAAGCGGTGCTCTGGGGAACACGCTCACGCCAACGTCCCGGACACCGAGAACAAGACGACCGAAAAACTACCCGCCGAGACCCTTCCGAACTTGCTGTTGCAGGACGATGGTGCCGACGAGGTCCATGCTGTCTCGCCGGGGTCCCCCTCTGAAGAGGACCTGCTGGGCCCGGACAAGGAACCAGCAGACAACACCAAGGATGTGAGCCGAAAGAACCGGGACGAGGAACCAACAGACAACACCGAGGATGTGAGCCGAAAGAACCGGGAACTTCGTTCGAAAGTGGGCAGCCAGGCCATGAACTATGTGACCCGTCTCCACAAGAACCTTGGTCATCCTAGTTCGGACGTTTTGGTTCGTATGCTGGAGGAGGTCCAGGCCACAGGCAACGTGATCGAGGCGGCAAAGGGATATGTGTGCCCAACCTGCTACAGCCGTCGTCGTCCTCCTGGTGTTCCACCGGCAGCCGGCTTGATGGCTCGCAACTTCGGTGACCGAATCATGGCCGACAGCGCTTGGATCGACCTCGAAGGTGGCCGCCGCTGTGTGCTCACCATCATGGACCAGGCCACAAGATATGTTGCAGTGAGGTTGTTGGAAAGCGAGCGGGCCACCGAGTTTATCAAGGGCATCGAGCGTGCATGGATCAAGCAGTTTGGTGTGCCCAAGATGCTGAGGATTGATGAGGCCAAGGGCTGGTCATCACTGGCACTTCGTGAATGGAGCCCGCTGCACAACGTTACTCTGGAGATTGCCCCAGCAGAGTGCCACAACTGGCTTGGTGCAGTTGAGCGCAAGCACCAAGTGGTGCGAAGAGCCCTCGAGATCTACATGGACGAGAAGGGTGGCCGAACACTCAGTCACCTTAAGGAGGCTCTTGTGTATGTCCCGGGCCAAATCAACAACCTCAGCTTTGTCAGGGGCTTCACTCCAAACCAGTGGGTTACCGGCCGGCAACCGATGAACTCAACAACTCTGAGTGGAGACTTCTTCAACCCTGGTGCCGACCCCATGGACGATCCCACCGACTTTGCACAGCTACAGCAAACTCGCTTGGCGGCACAACAAGCCTTTCTTCGTGCGGACACCGATGCCCGACTGCGTCGCTCAATGAACCAGCTCTACAACGAGGTCAAGGACGATGTGGCTAGCTGCGGGCCAAAAGTGCTGGTACTGGCGCATACAAGGTACTGGCATCCTGCAAAAGTCCAAGTGGCGAGGACCTGCCAGAGTCGTGGCGACTGAGGTCAATGACGAGGGCAAGAACACCATTGTGTGGATTGCCCATGGGACCAATCTTCTACGATGTGGTCCTCATCAAGTTCGTCCTCTTGTTCAGGACACCGGCTGTGCTCCTGTGGCCGATCCTGCTGCTGCTCTTGCCGACCTCTACGACATCCGCGCAAGGAGCACCACTCAGTTTCGCGACGTTTTTGCGTACGAGCCTGTCCTGGAGGATGCCATGGCCGAGGGTCCCGAGCCGCCGCATGGTGACGAGGACCTTGCTGACTACTCTCCGTCACCGCCGGCTTCTGACGCTGATGATGAACGCGGTTTTGAAGCCCCTGTGCCTGGTGCTGCCGCTCTTCACTTCTGTTCCAGCGCTCGGAACCGCGCCGCCGCCGCCACAGCAGCATGGCCGAGCCGGAGCCGGCCCCTAGCGAGACTGGTGTTGACCCACCCGGCCCTCCCAGCAAACGCCTCCGTGATGCGTCTGGTCTGCTCTCCTCTGCTGCGGCTTCTTCCTCTTCTCCCCCGGCAGTCCCGCCCGCTGGGCTGGATGCTGATGCCGAAATGGTTCCCGTGCCCTCGGATGGCGACAGTGACCTCCTGGTCTCCGATGTCTATGTGGTGGACGAAGGCAGGGCCGCTGATGATTTACCAAAGAGCTGGACCATTATTGAGGGCGAGATTGTGATGGATGAAGTGTGGCTATCTAAAGATAACAAACATTTCGCTCAGGAGTGTGTTGCCCTATAATCCTGTAATTGAGCTGTTTGCCACATGATTTTGTATAGCATGGAACAAATGTTCCACTGTGGTGTTTAGGCTCAAGGGACGCACCCAAGACAGCCGTGCGCCCGAGGAAAAGTGAAGTGCGAATATCTGTGTAAAGTGAAAGGGTCCGGAACGTACCCGTAAAGCGTTTTATGGTAGCGGAGCTGAAGGCCAGGACCTTCGGCTGAAGAAGAGCGCAATACAAGGAGAAAAGAGCCTTGGGCCCCAGTGTCACGAAAAGTAAAGAACAGAAAAGTTGAATGGCCACGCCAAGTCCAGCTGGAGACGCGGATTTGCCTGTATCCCCTGGACACGGTGGCCAAGGAGGAGACACACCAAGTGATACGCCAATGGCGATGCCTGCACCAGAAGGAGTTGCAGGAGGATCCCTTCAGGCCCTGATAGGGAACCTGTCGGCAGGCGCGCAAGCTTTGGCTAGTGCTGCAGGTACAGGAAGTACAAGGACTTACGACTCTGCAGCTAAGCTGGTGAAGAGTCCGGATGTGTTCGCTCCAAAGAGTTTGGAGGAGGAAGTTTCACAGTGGCCCGATTGGAGTTTCAGCTTCAAAGTGTTTGTGGGCTTCATTGACCCCACCTATGCAGAAGAGTTGAAGAAAGTGGAGCTGGCGCCACCAAAGCCAGCAGAGTATACAGTTGGTGAAAGAGAAAGAAGTACAAAGCTGTATGCGATCTTGGCCTCGTATCTTCGGAACAGGCCATTGAAGTTATTGAAGTCAGAAGGAAGTCCAGATGGATATTCTGTATGGAGGAGACTGTTTGAAGAGTTGGAGCCGTCAAGCCGAACAAGAGGGCTGGCAATGGCTCAAGCTCTAGTGAGCTTTCCCCAGATGACGAAGGGGACTTCTATCTTAGACTATCTGCTTACCTACGAAAAACTGGTTGCGGAATACGAAAAACTGTCCGAAGGAAAACCCTACGATGAGAATTTGAAAATCGGAACAGTACTCAAAGGTTTGCCAAATGAGTTGAGGAAGCATATCCTGATAGGATTGACCCCTACGACGAAGTACGCAGACATCAGGAAGAAGTTGCTTGAGTATGAAAGAAGTACCCATTCGTGGAATGCGGAGAACATTTTGCAGTCTTTCAACATGGAAAGCGCAACGAAGAATACACCCTACAATGGGCCACAACCAATGGATATTGATCGAGTGAAAGGAAAAGGAAAGGACAAAGGAAAAGGATACGACAACAAAGGAAAAGGAGGAAAAGGAAAAGGATACGACAACAAAGGAAAAGGAGGAAAAGGAAAAGGGTACAACAACAAAGGAGAAGGAAAAGGAAAAGGATACGACAACAAAGGAAAAGGAAAAGGTGGTTATAGAAATGCGCGAGCAGTGGACGCTGGTGGCTACGGGAAAGGGAAGTTCACAGGAGAGTGCCACATATGTGGAAAGATAGGACACAAAGCGTCTGAGTGCTGGCAGAACCAAGGAAAAGGAAAAGGAGGCAAAGGCAAAGTGAGACAGGTAGAAGAGGAAGGAACCCATCAAGGAGATCACGAGAAGAGTTCCTCTAGCAACGCCCCTGCTACAAAGAACGAGACTGGTCAAGTGAGGCAGATCACAGCAGAAGCGGCGCGACAAGCCCGACGAGTGGAAATGACAGAAGATGAGGATGAAGAGCTCAACTTTGTGAGGTTGTGTCAGGAGTTTGAAGAGCTAGTGGAAGGAGAACTGAGAAGAGTTGAGGAGTTTGATATCTCTTCGAATGATGAGGAAGAAGAAAGCGAGGAGGAATCAACAGATGGGTTGATGGAGTGGTACCAAGGATGGTGGTTCTTGGAAACAGAGATTGAAGGAAGTGTGAGAATGATCTCTCAAGAGAATGAAGTGCAGAGAGCAACGAGAGAAGTGGATGCATGTGAGGTAGTGCTCGACAGTGGAGCTGACTGCCATGTGTTGCCTATGGACTGGGCAGAAGAAGTAGGAGAAGCTTCTACTTTTGAGTATCATCTTAAAGATGCGCAAGGGAAAGTGATCCCAACACTGCCTGTGAGGCAGAGCGTGACGTTTGTTTTCACAAAGGAGTCTGGAAAGAAGTTGAAGATCACCGACAGTGCTGTTTGCGGCAATGTCACCCAACCTTTGTTTGCGGTAGGAAAGATGTGGAAGTTAGGTTGGGGTACGGTGAACGAGGATGGAAAGTTGTGGTTGAGAAAAGGAAGTGTTCGTATACCGATATACTTCAAGAGGAATTCCTCGATGGCGAGGATGTGCATCAGAAGACTTGAAGAAGAGGAAATGAAAGTGCAGCCGGTGAGGCTGGAAAGAGAATTGAAAAACGAGCTGAAGAGCAAAGAAGATGAAGATGGATGGTTTGTGCTGAATGATGGCACACCTGCAAGGTTTGATTGGTACATGGGGAAGACGTTTGACCCAACAGGTCAGTTCCCCAACAGGCTCTACGAAGGAGAAGGAGATGAAGGAGATTATTTTCCTTATCGAACAACCTTGCTAGGAAAGCTGAAAAGAAGCGGAGAAAGAGTGTTGAATGAAGTGGATTGGAAGAGTATGGATTTCTTTGAGTGTACGGAGATCTGGAAGGATCGCGAAAGAGTTCAGCTTGGGGCTAGTCCTCAAGACCGGCTTGAGGTGATGGTCACCTTGTTGGAAAAAGGGATGAAGGAACCGAGTGACATGGGTTGCTCACGAATTTGGAAGAGTTGGAGAGAGAGCTGGCACAAGAAGGAGTGCCGATGGAGGTCACGGGAACCTCCACGAGTTCGAAAGAGAAGGAAGGAAGCGAACGAGAGGAACCGAAGAGAGGAGTTCCAGTGATTGGCGAAGATGAGGAAGATGTGATGGTGATTGGACCAATGAAGTTGACACGCCAGAGTGAGTTGAAGGAGATGAAAGCGGCGTGCAAGTATCTGCATATCTCCAAGAATGGATCGAAGGAGATTTTGTGGAACAGATTAAAGAAAGAGGTTGCGTTGAGCAAAGTGAAAGCGCAAGCCCAAATCTCAGAAGACATCAGAAAGGAGTTTGAGAGAGAGCCAATTCCAGAGGCTCTGCCGGCTCTGCCGAGCCCGGAAGAGATTGAAGCGCATGAGCTGACGCATTTGCCAAGAGCGCCCTGGTGTGAAGCATGCCAGGCAGCAAAGAGTAGAGAAGATAACTTCGAAGAAACAAAAGAGAAGGCGCAACGGCCCGTGTTTAGCTTGGACTTTATGTTCACAGGAACACAAGGAGATGAAAAGGAAAGAGATCCGCTTGCTATTCAGCTTGCTGGAGTTGACAACGACACGAAATTCCTGATAGCTATTGCGGTGCCAACGAAAGGAGGAGATGCGGTGATAAACCATGCAGTGAGTGAAGTGGTAAGAGTGTTAGCCCTTTTGGGTTACGCTGAAGTAGTTCTTAGAACCGACACCGAGCCAGTGATGATTGCGATCAGAAGAGGAGTTCAAGTGGCAAGAACTAAACAAGGTTTGAAGACGGAGTTGCAAGATGCCACACCTGATGAGCATCAAGGGTTGCCTGTGGAAAGGTATATCCAAACTGTGAGGAACCTTGCAAAGACGTTGTTGGCGACGGTAGAACAAAGAAGTGGAACGGGCATCGGATCTGATGTCCCGCTTTATAGCTGGGCGTACAGACATGCAGCATGGCTGCATAACAGGTTTCATGTGGGAAGAGATGGTCGAACGGCGTTTGAAGCAACGGTGGACAGAACGTACAAAGGAAAGTTGGCCCCTTTCGGGTCAGCAGTGTTTGGAAAGGCAGTGCCAAAGACGAAGGAGAAAGGAGAACCTTGGGAAAAGGGAGTCTTTCTAGGAAAGGACTATGCGAGCAATTTGAACCTGATCGGAACAGGTCGAGGAGTGATTAAAGCCAGAACAATGAGAAGATGCGCTGAAGCATATCAGCCTGAGCTTTTGCAACTTTCTGTTGGAGCTCCCCTATTGATGATGGGCCAGGATTTCCAAGGTTAGCAGCTAAGGAAGACAAAGGAGTAGAAGAAGAAAAAGGTAGCGAACCTTCGCCGCCGAGCGAACGCCAAGGAACTTCAAGTTCCTCAAGTAAGAGTTCATCGCTGTCTGGAGCAACGCCCGAAAGAGAACCAATGGACGACGAAAGCGATGATGATGACGACGATCCAGGAGAAGTGAGAACTAAGAGAAAAGCGGAAGATGAATTGGTGCCCGATGAGATGATGCTAGAAGAATTTCAATAAGAGGTTGCGAAAAGAAATGCAGAAGAAGAAGGAGAAGGGTCACCAAAGAAAGGACCAAGAGTAGACGAAGGAACTGGAGAAGTAGAAGAAAGAGTTGAAAAAGTGCCAAGACTTGGAGATGAGGCACGAGGAAGTGCGGCGCGAGTGGAATACCACATTCGGAGATTCGCCAAGAGCGAGGATCCCGAAGAGCATGGAGATGAATATGTGGATCTCGACGAGACACAGCTGTTTCTTGAAGAAAGTCGAGAGTTCCAGAGCAAGTGGAACGAGAAGGTGTGTGAGACAGAAGAGGACCTAACGGTTACTTGGTCTCACGAGTATGATGATGGGCCACCAAAGTTGGAAGCTGAAGATCTGGAGAAGGTGGACCTGAAAGCGGAGAAAACAGAAATCGAGAGACTGTTGGAGATGAAAGTTCTCAAAGAAGTGGAACTGGATGAGAATGGAGATTTGAAGAAAGGACCGAATGGAGAAGAGCCAAAGAGACTCAGCACAAAGTACGTGTTGGATTGGAGGCATAGGGACCTCCAATGGAAGAGGCGCGCCCGCCTAGTGGCGCGGGAATACAAGTGGCTGACCGACTACGATCTATCGGCGTTATACTCACCAACGAGCATTGGTTCGAGCATCAAGCTGCTGTCAGCTTTGTGTGCGAGTTCAAGAGACTACGAGATGATCTCGATAGACATTTCTGACGCGTACCTTCAGGTGCCACAGAAGGAGTACACGGTTGTGAGTTTAGGAGGAAAGTGGTACCAACTGCAAGTACACCCTGCCGGGACAACGAACAGGAAGCAGTGACTGGTTTGAGCATCTACGTGAAATCCTGGAGAAAGAGAAGATGGTTTCCGATGTGGGATGTACCTCGTGACGAGGAACGAGTTACGACTATGTGTGCTAGCTTACCTATTACTACTCGAAGCTATCGAAGGTAGCTTCGCTAGAAACGAAGTTTCGTTCGCTATCGTCGCTCGCAGGAGAGTTGCCTCTGACATGCGAAGACAGGATAGCTGTGACTTGGAATGGCTACGACGGTGTGTGACCGTGGCCATTCTGGATAAAGTCCCCCATCAGGGGGGGGTAATTTTGAAGTAGTGGGGGATCGAAGGGGAACTTGGCTATCTAGCCAAGCGAGAATGGCCTCCCCGCGCTCCCCTTCTGCTTCGCGGACGGCTAGCCCACAGTCTCCGGCTACTACGGTGATTCCGGCTAGTCCTGGGGGCGAGGAGCCAGCGAGTCCAACCGTCTTGCCCACGGCTGAGCCGGAAGAGCAGGGCGTTGGACCGGCTACCCCCTCCGGAGGGATAGGGAGCCCCATCGGACTTCCGTCCTTGCGGGATAGCGCTCTTGTGCAGAAGCGGGCGGTGCTGGATAGATGCCATGAGCATCTGGCGTCGCGGGGCTTCGGTGTGCTCGAGCTGGCTACCCTCGGCCTAGAGGACGCGGAGGATATTGGGCACCAAGTGGCCGAGGAGCTGGGCGTTGGCTACGACGAGTACATCGGCGACTCGATCTACCTGTGGATACAAGAGGCCCGGGAAGCTCGGGACCTGGTGGAGAGAACGTCGGGATACAGGGCGACTTCGCTAGCGTGGGTTAACCTCAGCAAGCGGCCGGCGATCGAAGGCATCGACCTTCAGGAGGATAGCGAGCCGGAGCCCCCGAAAGGGGATAGGCAGAAGCGCTTGGTCAACGAGGGCTCCCTGGCGCAGGCTAGGGAAGAAAGGCTACAAGCAACCTGGGCTATTAAGCTCAAGGAAGAGCTAGAATTGTGCGAGGCGCCGGTGCTGAAGAAGCTACAGGGGTGCCTGGACCCGGATAGAGCGGTGTTGGCGCTAGCGGGGAAAACTCGGGCTAGCACTCTCAAGCGCTACGTCTCGATACACGTGAGATCACGTGAGATGGCGGCTATGGCTACGGGAGGCTAAGAGTGGACGCCCCCCTGGGCTACTGGCCGACCTGGCCGACTACATCATGGCTAGGGGCGACGAGCCCTGCGGGCGAACGGTCCCCGAGGCGAGGCGATCCTCAAGGCCATCAGCTTAGAGAGGGTCGCGGAATGGGCGACCGAGTCGAGAGCTACCTCAGGCAGGATAGCGTGGGCGATCAAGGATACGGTCGTCGAGAGGCTATCCTGGAAGGCGCCCTGGAGGCGAGCCCCCCGATATCCTGCGGCTATCCTGGCTAGGTGGGAGCGCCTGGTCCTGGATACAACTGTGGCCGTCGGCTGGAGAGCTTGGGCCTGGGCTAAGCTCCTAAAGGTTTGGGGCAGCTTGCGATGGTCGGACCTCCAGGCTATGGTCCCAAATGAACTGGCTATGGTGGAAGGTCGGCTATCCACCATCCTGCGACGGACGAAAACCACCGGGGCTAACAGGCGCATACGGGAGCTACCTGTATGCATCTCGGAGAGAGCCTACTTCGAGGACCCTGGCTGGCTACAGGCGGGCTTCAACCTGCTAAAGAACCACGCGGGCTACCAGCGGGACTATCTCATGCCCAGGCTAGGCGAGAGAGGCGCCCTGGAGAAGAAGATGGCTACCTACGCAGATGCGATGGTGGCAACAGCGGGGCTACTGGCTATGGTGGGGATCCCGACGGTTGCCCGAGGCTACTGGTCGGAACACAGTGAGAGAGCAGTGCTACCCACCGGGCTGAGCCTAAAGCCGATCCCGCCGGCAGATAGAGATATGCTAGGACGCTGGAAGCCTGAGGGCACGGATACCTACATCCGCTCCTATGGCGGAAGGGTCGCCCGACTCCAGGCTATCTACGCAGAGGCGGCTAGAGCCCGGGACCGGGAAGAGCAGCTAGATGAGAGGGAGATTGCTGGCGACCTTGGAGGCTGGCTTTTCCGGACCGGCAAGGCTAGCGAGCAGGAAGCTGAGAAGCTGTCTGGAGAGCTGCGACGAGAGTGGGCTAGCGAGCGCATCGTGGAGATGGTGGCTGGCCCGGGGATACCTGAAGAAGTCGTGGCGAGCGATCCTCCCGAAGATAGACCAGACTCCTCGGCTAGTGAGCCGGAGCTGGGGCCGGAACCCAACCGGAACCGGCCGAGGCAGCTCCTTAAGAAGGCTAGGTGCACGAGCTATATCATAGTTGAGCTTCCAGGGAAGAAGTACAGGCTACACAAGGGGGGCCAGGCCGGGTGCTGGATGGGCCGCCGTAGGATATTTAAGAACTCCCAAGAGTTTTCGGCGAGGCCCGAACCCAACCAGTACACGCATGTCTGTAGGCTATGCTGGCCGAAAGGCCGAGGCGAAGAGCCCCCGTCTGGTGATAGCGACACCTCTCAGGCTAGCACCGGCGACCAGAAGCCGGAGCAGGGAGAGGAAGAAGATTTCGGAGAGGTCCCAGCAGCAGAGCTGCAGGGAGTACCTCCGGGGATAGTACCCCAGTTGCCGATAGCACCATTGCCGGCTATTCCGTTCGGCTGGCCTGAAGGGATAGAAACGCCGGGGAAGCAGCGGGGCTGGACAACGGGGGGATACGTCCGGGGGGGGCCTCTCGGGATATACTCTTTCCTTCCCATCTCTCCGGGGGCGGCGGGCCCAGGGGGAGAAAGAAGGGGAGAGAAGAGAGGAGAGAGAGAGGAGAG